TGTACGTTCTGCTTGACACCGCCGTGCTAGAAACAGGAATGAAGACCAGGAGTTACCGGCGCGACCAGCGGGAGGACTGCCCGCCCCACGAAAGGAGACACAAAAGACCAGCAGCATTAAAAACCAGGAGAGGTGGAGTGATTTCCCCCGTTATTGCTATGAATTAACAAAGCGAAGGCCAAAAAGCGCGTGTTTTACCCGACTTGACTGCTGCCTGAGACGACGGGATCTGCACGGTGAACCTCTGACCCGTCAGCGACACTGGGGTGCCGACTTTTGTCGAGACGGATACCGTTTGTGCTGAAGGTGTACCTGAAATTGAAAACAACCCAGTCAAAAGATAAATTTTAAAAAATAAAATAAAATAGAGAGATGATACTTGCACTCGTAAATTTGCTTTCAAAGGGGAACCTATTATCTTTGAGGTGGTGGGAATACACAGGTCGATACTGACGCTGGACGCACAGGCGTCACGTTTTCAGGCAGAACCCGCCCATTTACTCGAGACCTACAAAATTCCAGGCCACAAACGCACACACGAACGTGTGGGTGCACACGCTCAGTCATAAATTTTGTGAACCTTTGAAAGAAGGATTTTATTGAGCAGTTTATTTATTTGTAGTTCGGCGTAGTGCGTACACTGAGGGAAAACCCCTCAAACTGATGTACGTTTCCTGAATAGCCTCCTCACGTACAGAAGTTATCACAAACACAGGAATAAAAACACAGAACGGCAGTAGCGTATACACGCATCAAAGATCACAACCGTCTTTTTGGAATGAATTTAGTTTTCCTGATGCTGTCAAACCACACTAAGTTCGGGCGGCACCCAACACGTCCCCGGTGGTTGAAGCACGCTTTGAATTACCCCGCATTGGGTTATTTTTTTTTATTTTCCTTTGTAAAATCAACACGGGAAACCCCAACTGAGCTGTTTCCTACCTAAAGTAGGAGTGCTGGGCCTGCTGCTCACAGCACCAACGCTCAGGCGAGGGACTGTTATTCTTCCTGCGGAGGAGGAGACCTGTCGAGAGAGAACATCCAGTTTAGCATCCCGTTAAAACTAACGGCTCTTAACGCGAGAGGAAGAAACGGTTCTTCCTACGAAACCGCAGAGAGCCTATTTCGCGGCAACACCACACGATCTGTGCTCCAGCACGGAACTCCTCAAACTCTCGACGGTGCGAACGCCGCCGGCGTGAGCTGGAGCTCCCGGACGTGACCCAACGCCGAAGATCGGCAGGCAGCTGATCTGGCACGCAGCCCCCGGCTCAACCAGGTTAGCTTCTGCTGGGGAGAATAACTACAACACCGCGATCAACAGTTATTATGGTGAATGGAGTTCAATCCAGTTGGCGGCCGGTCACAAGCGGTGTTCCCCAGGGCTCAGTTTTGGGGCCAGTTCTGTTTAATATCTTTATCAATGATCTGGACAAGGGGATCGAGT